GGGGGGGGGGGGTTAGGTGGGCTAGGGAGACGCGATCGACGGGTGGTGATAATTGCGGTCGAGCGCGGCCTCTCGAAAGCGTGACGTTTTAAAATGCACGTGGGGTCTCTACGTGGTGAGAAAAGTTGAGAGGCCGAGCGGAATGGGGCGAGCGAATGAGGGTGCCGTGTCGTGGAACAAGAGAGTTGCAGACAAGAGTGAACCACTGAATCTGCACCGGAGGTCCGGTTACCCACGCTCTTATAAATCCCGATCCCAAAGAACGCGACGTCGGCGAGGATCGAACGGGAAAGCCATTACACGCTGCAATCTCTCTTCCGTACCGAGGATCCGGCCGACGAGAGCTCGAACTCGCTGCTACGCGTCCCAAAAGGCAAGGGAATACCCACGTTAGGACGTAAAACAGCGAGTTCGATCCTCAAATCGTCCAAGTCCAATCGTGTTCTTCGAATCGATGAGACGAAAGACTCTACTCGTAGTTCGATAAGTGGCTAAGTCTTTTTTTCGTATTTTATACTGAGAGAAAAAAGATTGATCTGACTATATAAAATTATAGTTACTTTTGGCCCCAGCTATTTTTATTTTTGATAATATGATAGCATAGATGTGTGCAAATTAAAAATATTATCATTATCATTATGATAGAATTTAGTAAAAAAAAAATTTTTTTTGGCCATAATTTACGGTGATTATTTCTTTATGTGATTATAGTTACGGGTACCAAATATTTTGTTCCCGGTAATAACTCTGTTCGTGAATAACTCTGTTCGTAGATCCTAATATTCGCTTGTCGGACCGACTATAGGATCTCCGGTGCAGAGGAAACGCGGTAATTCGCGGGACAATCAGCACAACGCCGTGATGACGACTGCGATATGAAAATGTCGCGCTTTTTACCGTGGAGAAAGAAATACAGATCGCGACTGTGACGGAGGAAATTCTCTCATAATATAGCACCTTCATCTCACTGCCCCTTTTTTCCTTTATTCTTTTGTTTTTTTTTTTTTTTTTTTTTCATTTTCCTTTTGCCTAAGTTCCGTTTCTCCCAAACGATTACAGGACAAGAGCACTCCTCACGAGTTTGCAATCTACGTGTTGTGTTATGCGTACACGTCTATCGCTAGCAACTGAAGAGAAGGACTCATAAACGTTGCAATTTCAGAGCAGAGGTGCTAATAACGTATCACACACAGCGTACAAAATCGCGCTTCCCAAATTCAAGTTCTCGCTACATCTGGTGAATATATAAGTAACGCGTATCTCCCGTAGTCGGTTGCTCGATGGGGGTGTTCTTTTGGTATCGCGTGTAACAAGGTGACCAGATTCCCCAGCCCTAAATCCGGGACATCTCATGAATGTGTGAAGTGAAAGGGAGGATAGATCACTGAAAATTTTATATATATATATATATATATATATATATATATACATATATAAAACAATACATATTTTATTTATAGACATATGAAAAATAATTGAACAACAAGAAGAACTTGCTACGTACAATAAAACTACAGCTAGGGTAAAACTGTTGTAATTCTATAAAAAAAATCTAAGTGCATTCGGAAAAATCCGGGACAAACGATGGAAAAACGAGACTGTCCCGGGAGAAGTGGGACGTCTGTTCACCTTACGTGTAAACACATTCGGAGATCGTTGCTTTCGGGGGGCCACGATAGAGAAATACTTACACGTCGTGATTCGTTGCATATACGGAACAACAATTGTTAATTGAATTCAGAGACGATCCCAGAAATGCGCTCGGACGAAAAATTGCGATTCCTATATGAGATACAATCCGAACCGAGTTTTGAGCTTTAAACGGCTGTCGGGCGTTCGTAAAGTAAGAATTAAGCATGATTAAACGATATTGTCGGATCAAACGTTATTTTCTACCGATACTCGGCTACAAACGCGTGCTATTCATTAAATTCGAGATAGCAAGAAAAGGGACTCGTGCTCAAACATTTCATGCCTCGTTTTTCTTCTTCCCCTTTCATCGGGAACATCCCGCATTTTCACCCGAATTCTCGCCGATCGTCCGTTCGACGCGTGAATCGCGCTTCTTCATATCGCGCGAAGGAGATGGAAGGAGTCTCGGTGATGGCGAATATCTATCATGATGTGCATTACTGCATCACCGATGCGAAATTCGTTTCTTTTCCGCGCCGTTCCCCGATCTATTCTATCTATCTAACGATACTTTTCGAAGCGTCTTCGGGGAGTGGTGATAATGGACTAACCAAGCATCCTCGTGGCGCGATAATCGGGAGTGATGGAAAGCGCCGAAGTGTATATTGTGCGAAGCATCAACACTCTAACACGCTTGAACGCCGGCTTGAACTCTTGGGTCTGCCATTAGTGCGGAGAGGTGCAATATTCGAGCTGGTCTAACGACACCTGCCTCAGATGTCGGGCTCATTCTGCGCTCTACGAGACTGACTCTACATCGACTCGGCTCCCACACGAGCCGTGCCACATTCATCCGCTGGTCTCTTGCAAGTAGTAAGCGTATTGCGAAAGCAACGGGACGGTGCGGAAATTCATCTTTCTACTGGTGACGACGACGACAACAACGACGATGATGATGACGACGACGACGTCGACGACGACATAATAAATACAAACAACACGTACATGGAGAGAGAACTTTATGGTAAAGATTACTATAGGACTTTGCAATCGAGGAATAGATTTATACTCTACAGCAATTCGCTGTGCTTTCATTCCATATGTGTCACTTATGTCTTAGGAACTAGAATGTACTATTAGAAGATTTACTATGTTTCTAGATTAGAAATTGAGTATATTTCTTAACAACATAGATCTTATAGACAGTCTATTCCCCTGGACTGTTATATAGTAAAATTGAAAAGAGTTTATGTAAAATTATGTGAAAAAAGTGTAATATTCTCTCCGTGTAACAACACACACACGACACGAAAAACAATACCGAGACTGAGGGAGAAACGGGAATACCCGATGTAGATGAAAAACATGTGTGAAAATAACAGTGCGCCGTAATACCTGGTTGTACCAATATTTTGGGGGGGAGGGGGCTTTCTCATTTTTCGTGATCGCTGACACGCGATTCGTATGGGCGGCTGTATCGTGATTCCCGTGTGTGGAAAGAACGTCCACGGTATCGTGCTTAATATCATGTTTACAAACGGTGCCATATGCTTGAAGAAGTGTCTGATGGTGGGACGGATTTAAGCGATTTCAAGCGATTCGAGAGAAAAAAAGAAAGAGAGAGAGAAAGAGAAAGACAGTGATCTATTTTCAAACTAAGCTGTTGGATGTGTCGTCGTACAAAGGAGGAATTAATTTAGGAAGAAACCAAATGGATTAGGTGGATCCACAACAGGACAGTGCGCGAACGCAACAGAATAAGTGCACTGAGAGAAAAAATGTGTAAAAAATATAAAAAAAAATATTTTTCCAGTGAGTATCGATAACATATTTATTAAAAACTCGAAACTATATTTTTTTATTTAAATAGAATAAAGAATTTAAATAAAATAAAATTAAGAGAAGTAATAAGTAATAAAGTTAATAAAGTTAATAGAATAAGTTAAAATGGAAAGAAAATTCCAGCAATTTAAATAGAATAAAAAAGCATTGCTTTCACAAATAAAAAGCTAAGAAGTTTTTACAAAAATTCTTATTTGAAGAATATTTCGTGTTAGTGTAAGTAAATACGTTATTAGTATCCACTGCGTGAATGAATATCTTTTATTTCTTAGATATTTTTTCTTTTAGAGTACGTTTTTCCCTTTGAGAGGCTGATTTGGATTTAGCCTCAGATATATATCTGTATGTGTGCTATACTCTTTAATTGTCTTCGAGTGGAATTCCACTTGAAGAGTAGAGTGATAGCCGACTCACTCGAATTCGAGTGACTTTTCGCTGGATACTGAGTGAATTTTCTACTCTGAGTCGTCGAATGAATACTTCCGTTCGAAGAGTGAATCCGACGCACTCGACCGTCTCATAAGAGCGAATTCGCTCTAATCAATCGAAGCATCCATTGCATTTCAGACGAAGAATCCATTCCAAGTTGGAATCATAAAACCTTCGCTCTCCTACTTTCAAGTGGCGGTGTTTTTTCTCTATCACTCGGAGTAAATTTTCACTCATTCTCAGTGAGACTTTGGCTCCAAGAAGTTTAGAGAGTAGGAGTTCATTGACTTCACGCTCGATGCTCTCAACTACACTATCTCTCGTCGGGATTTCGTCGAGATTGAAACGAAGGCCAAGTACACTTTCCATCAAAAACGAATCACGCTCTTCGCCGACCCGTGCTGCGTTCGCTCTTTTTCTCCTGCCGTCAGTGGAACTGTTTGCGCGGAATCCGCTATGCGGTTGAGGCGCGGAATAGAATTCTGCATTAAGGATTGAGGAGGATTTAGAAGTACAAGGGGATCGAGCCGGTGAAATGCGATTCCGCGCACCCGCGGGACGCGCTCACCTTGACAAGGATTTCCATCCTAACGCGACGGGATATGTGATCGTAAAATCTTCCACCCTGCGTCGTGTGCACAAAACGATGCTACGTTAACCCGGAAACGAGCGCGGAATTGTTCTTGTGCGACGTAAACCGACCGTTCGAGGAAGGACGGTTTTATGAGCTCATTTATGAGACGTACACTCTTCGCGCGCGACAAAAGTCACTTAGTTCCTCATCGGAGGCCGCCCGATTAATTGCGAGAACGTTCGTTCTCGTCCAATTTTACGCGAATTTCGTCGCATCCGCGACGCGCCTCGATTTTTGGCAGTTGCGACGTTGATTCAATTTCGCGCATAATTTCTGTATATTAAGCGCGATAATCTGATTCTACGATATCTCCATTCGTTCTCTCCAACTCGTCTGAAAAATGAAGCACATAATTTAAGCGAGCGGGAAAGTACGAAATA